AGAGAGAGAGAGAGAGAGAGAGAGAGAGAGAGAGAGAGAGATAACTTTGCTTCTTTGTCGAATTTATAGAGCACAAACTCGAGAGCACTTTCTAATGAATTAATATGAATCTCTTAATTAATTATGTGCAGATCAAGCTCTCATCCGTACAACTCGCTCGAAAGTACATGAACCGTGTCGCATCAGAGCTTGACGCGATGAATGAGCCCGAGAAGGAACCCAACAAAGAATTCTTGATCCTACAGGGTGTCCGTTTTGCTTTCCGTGTGCATCAGGTAATAATTTACATGCTAGTTCAGCCTCATTTGTCTGGAAGTGTGAATAACTCAACTATCTGCAGCATGACCTGGCGATATAAAAATGATAATAACAAAACAATAAATATTTTTATTTTTCTAAATATTAGAATTAACCTTCGAAAAATTTGCCTGGGGTTGTGTTCAGTTACTCTTCATGTATGACTTGTAACGTAGAAAGATGTGTCGAAGGGCAATATTGGTATACATTTGTAATTTTACCGAAAACTCAGGATATATTAAACCTAATAAAGATTATTCAATACATTTCCAGTTTGCCGGAGGATTTGATGCAGAAAGTATGAAGGCATTTGAAGAGCTAAGAGGCAGAGCTCATGCTAAAAGTGCAGAAGAAAGTAAACCGGAAGAATGAGAAGATTCTGCGCTTTACTTTAGTTTTCGTTTTTGCATTATTCAGTTTTCAGTTGTACATTTCATCATCTGTAAGCAGCAGAGAAACCTTGTGTTTTGGAGATTATAGGGATTTTAACTAAAGAAACATATTGTAGATGGGGAAAAAGACAGAAAAAAAAAAAAAAAAAAAAAAAAAAAAAAAAAAAAAAAAAAAAAAAAAAAAAAATTACTTGTAATCTGAGAGAATAACATTGTAAAAATGATATGAATCACTCCACAGAATTAAACTGTGTAGATGTTCTGTACATTGAAGTCTCATTTCTACAAGTCCATGCTTCTTATTGTCTTATACTAGCTTCCTCTGATGAATAATAATTATAATAAAACTCGCACAAAAATCAGTGCAGCGCACATAAATCCTCAATTCTTGTGCGCGGGAAAATTGAAACTCCTCAAAGGGCTCATCGACGTGGCTCTAGGCGACTTGGGCATCTCCGAAATTCTATTACCGCAATAATCGTAATATATCACACCTGAAAATTCCGGCGGCTGGCATTTTTCGCCCATCAAAATCGCTCTCTGCCAAACCCCGTTTTCCTCATCCTCATCGTGGCTGTTAGTACTATTATTACCTTTCCCGCCAACTCCAGCCTCGCGCTCTGACTTTTTCTTGCTGTTTACCATCATCGCCTTGTGGCTTATAGTCGCGATCAGCTGCTTGGGGGACTTGATCATCATCGGCAGTGGTGCGTTTGGATCTTTTGTTACCGAGCCGTGCTTTTTCGGGGCTTTCCTTGCGTGTTTCGCACAGAGGCCGACGAGGAGAGTTGCCGAGAGAAACAGGCCTATGGCTAGTGCGGCCGGGGAGGACAACACGCTGCTTATGTGGAGGATCGGCATAGGTCGAACCATTTTATTTTAGTGTATAATTAATATTAATATTTTTTTTTTTTTTGAATTGTGGTTTTGAAGGAGGAGATGAATGAGGAACAAGTTTATGAAATTTTATGTCTAATTTTTTAAGATGTTTGGTTTTTATAGTTAGGATTTGGCTGAGGTCTTGCGGGGGTCGTTGTTAGGAAAGGTTGACTTGGGAAAAATTGCAACTTAGTACATAACTTGTGGTATTAATAAATTGTAGGCGTGGATGGTGCTTTTTTAGGGAGGTATTTACTGTTTCGGGTCATTTCATGATTAGCCCAATCGACTTTAATTAATTAACCAATTTAAAGGAAATTTGTGCCACATTTTCTGCCTTCCTTTCTTATTTTATTTATTTATTTATTTATTTTTGTTGTATTTTTTACTAAATTTCTGAATAAATTTGCCTTCAATATTTTTAATCCATGTTTAAAAATACTTTGCTTCGTTTGATTACATTGAACTAGAGAGGAAAACATAAAATGTGACTCTTGAATTATAATTACTAACCACGTGTTTGTTTACAAATAAATCCACACAAAATGATTTTTTCGATTAATCAAAATTAATTTTAGAAAAAGTTGAATGATTAGATGTTAGTAAAATTTTGATTTTGTATCAGAATGATATTTTAAATAAAATAATTAAATTTTATTTGATGTAAAAGTATGAGAGTAATGATGTGGAGTGATAGTTAGTTAAAATTATGTGATTGCATGAATAGTTAATTGAAGTTAATGTGATGTGTAAGAATGACTGATTTATATTATTTAATTATATTGATAATATTAAGAATATAATGCGATTGAATTGACTAGATATTTAATATGAATTGAATATGAATTAGTTATTTTGTAAACAAACATGAAATAAAGTTTAATTTCATGTATTGAAAATGACATTGTTGGGCCATTGACTTTGGGATTATCTTGGAGTAAAATTTTAATAGTTCATAAAAAATATAATAAAAAAAAAAAAATTGGTGACACATGAATGGTTTAACCATATATATATATATA